AGGGGAAAGGTGTGAAAGTAGAGTACACCGGTGAGGAAGAAGTTCTTTTTTTGTTCGAAACGTGTCTGTATCTTACACGGAATCCGCATGAATAGGTCCGCACCTCTTAGTTAACCCTTCTTTCTTTGGTGAGTTCCCACCTCTTATCCCAAGGGCATCATAGTAAATTCCACCATTTCAAGGGTAAGCTCTAGGTCCCTAACTTGACTCTAACGCGGGGTAGGTCCCCTTTTCTTCTATCTAGGTCCACGGCAACTCCACCTGTGTTACCCCTCGTTTCCACTTGGCTGTGCCCCCTTCTGCCGGATCTAGCTGCCATTATAACGGTCCTCGCCGATGTCCTTTTTGTTTCTTGACTTCAATCCTTTGCTCTAACCATCCTTGCATTTTGGTCAGTTGCTCCTACACTTTCATAGGAACGGTACGGGGGAGCCCCTTTAACCGACCCCTGCCTTAGGTTTCAGACCGTTCGGAGGCTCTAACCAATCCTGCTTCTACGGGTGCCTATCCTTCCCTAAAGAATGCCTAATGTCTCCGTCAAGCTCTAACTAACTCCTCCTCTTCTCCCAAGTAAGGAAGAGTGTCTCACTAATTGACAGACGGGGCAGCGGACTAGTTAAACGAACAAGCCACAGGCAATCAAACATGTCTTATACGGCCAGGTTCAGTCCCATTTGTTCCTATTGTTTAGAAATGTGGAAAGGAAGGTCAGAGGGTGGAGAATAGCGAGGGAGAGTAAACACTAGTTAGAATAAGAACCGCAGATTTCTTCTTTTTGTGAACACTTTACCACCACACTTCGCATCCAAGCTGCACACTCCTGGCCATCAAGCATCTTGAGGAGCATATTACTAAGTGTAGCGCCATAGACATAACTCCCACTCCACCAGCAAGGCTAGCGAGAAGGCGACATGGCAATTTGGGATGATCAAACTTCATGGGGTATCTTTAGAGAGGCAAAGATTGAGAACTCTATGCGGGGCAACCTCTTTGATGACACTCGCGCCCCGTTCCCCCGGGAGACAAGGTTCTCAACACATACTGCGCCACCGTGTCCATATACCCTACCGAATTAGCGCTAGGATCGCCGCGCGAGAAAGAAGGATAAGGATTTCGCATCCCCTTCCGGTTCAAAGGAAGCCGGTCTAAAGCTTCCAATCCATCCTCGTAATTCAAGCTTCCGCATCCTTGATTTGCTTCTTATTCCCTGCGTATCTATTGTCGTAGTTGACTCATAACTGACACCAAGGAACCTGGAGCTAACTCACATGAACCACCCGGGTAGTATGATAGCGCTAAGATTGGGTAGGCATGTATGTACGTTCTGGCAGTTGGTAACCCGTCTCAGTCACCCTACGTGGCAAGGAGTGGAATGAAAGAAAAAGAAGAAAAAAGTGCTCTTTCTTTGAATTGAAGGGTTGCTTACTCACGCACAGAACACTTGAAATATCTCCTCCGTCACCATGACTCTCCCTCAAGCTGACAGCCGAGGATTTTTGGATCAGTTCATGAACCTCTTTCTCTACATAAGAGAATTTCTTGCATTCCCTTTTAGCTTGACTACGGCTACTTGGTTTTCAAATGGAGAGGTGGGAGACTACTTTCGGGCCTTTGCGTCAGATCAGGCAAAAAAGTCTTCCGAGAGCGTACTAAACACTGCCGTACCGGCTGGCTAGCTAACTTCTTTCGTGGGAATGTTTTCCTTATTTGAAGTACAACGAACCCAATGAAATTGTTTGGGGTGTGACAGCCATAATAGCGCTGGACGGGGAGCTTACCCCCTTCTTTTCGTTACCTCGTCCCAGCATCAAGAAAGAAAGATTGCTCGCTCTAGGGCAGAATGTTGTACTCGTGGTTTCTCCTTTGTTTATGAGCTCTTTCGAATTCGTCATAAGGAATTCCCGATTGCCTGAGCTCCTGAGATCACCTCGTGCTTCCAGCTTCCTCAGCGAGCTCCATTAGATGAAGAATGAAGGGCCGGTGGATTGAGTAGATAAGCCTTTCTTTTCTCTCGGTGCCTTAATTTATCCTGGGAACGGGGTCACCGGGCACCGCAAACAAAATCAAGCAAGAAAGAAGATAGGCAGTCGGATTCTATGAGAATTGAAGAATTTTTAGTAATCTGGACTATCCACTTCACCGGAGACAGACTCTATAGGGAAATCGTGATCGGTTGCAGCACTGCGGCAAGCTGCTTCAATTCTATTAGGAAACCTTTAATTAGGCACCCTTGGCCCCTCTTACATTGACTGTTATCCCTCTGGAATGGGTGGATTGGGGCGAAAAAAGTCTTGCGGAGGCTCAGGCTCCTCTGTGGTGGAGGGAAAGAAAAGTGCTTTATTGATGTTTCGCTCGTTAGATTCAGTAGGGCTAACACGTGTCCACTTCTATGGATAAGCTTACTCACCTCCCTTCTTACCCTTTACATCTTCTTGGAGACGGGGCTTGCCTTTGCCCTCTTACCTTACAGCTGTAAAACTAAATTGTTAGCACACTTTAAAAAACATATGGATCATTTCATCTAACTGATCCAAGAGCGATAGCAATGCACAAACCTAGTTGGACCGCGGATCGATCGCCCTTAGTTCCTTATGCTTCAGCAGTTGCTTTCTTATACCTTGGCCATTGGATTCCCTTTTGACATGAGAGAGACAAGGCAGAAAACCTTATCAACGAGGAACGAACAAGAAAAAGCAAACTTGAACAATTGGATGTTTTTGAAATAGCGCTCCGGGAAGAACTTTCCTTACCCTTGCACTTGACTCGTTGAGAAGAGAGGTCAACGGTATCGCCCGAGGCGGGGTCTCCTTACGCCCTTGAATCAATACCCATCTTTCGGCTAACCTACCTAGCCGTCTCCGGGGCTTATCCGGTCCATTATCATGTATCTTTCTATGATCTTTCCTTTCAGACGTGCAGCTGCTTTGCCACTGCACTGTTAAGTTCCTGGGCGATCGAACCTATTCTTCGACTTCTTTTCTTGCACCCCAGGCACATAAGAAGGTGTCCAACATA